AACGTTTTTTTAGCGAGTTAGTTTTCTACGGGATGGGGTCGCTAACCTCATGTCCAACCCTCCTCCTTTATCCGGGCTTGGGACCGGTAGTATCCCCCGGAGGGACTGCAGGTGGAGTTACCAATATTTTTAAACATAGAAATAACACTCAATACGATAATGCATTAGGCTTTCATAAACTATCATTGTTGAGTATATTTATTTACGAGTTTTCGATTGTCTTTTTAAAAACAAAGAACTCAGCACTTCATCGTGATAATCATATCAATATATTTTACTTTCATAGTACACTTATGTAAGTGAATTGATGTGGCTTAGTGGTTTATAACATTCAATTTTTTTAAATCACTGATTCTTTTTAAGTGCATAGTATTACTAGCTATCACATAAAAAAACATGCTATTCAATGTGTACAGATATATTATTGTATATTGTATTTAATATAGAGTAATAAAAGGATCATAAAAAAATAAAGTGTTATACACGCTGGTTATTACTTTGGAATATGAATATAAAGTAAATTAAGATCCGAATCAAATTAAAAATATAGTAAAATTGTACAAATTAGACAAGATTTCATTTCTGTTTCTACTCTCCTCTTTGTATAACATTTTATTATTATTTATTTGAACACATAAATACTGGTTCAAGGGGGCACCAGATACATACGCGCCACACAAATCTCATTTGATTTGTATGAGGACTGTGATACTGCCCGGATGCCCAAACCGAAGTGGGTGGTTTTCTTAGGGGGCAACACCCGGAGCCTTCGACCTAAAGGTCTGATTCACAAGGCAGTCGAGCAACGTTAGGGCATGTAGTCCCATGGTAGCCCGTGATCAACAATAGGTTCATAGGCCACTTGTCCCTCAGGATCCTAGAGCCTATGTGCACCATTGGTTTGGGATTAGGGTTGTCGAACCCCCCTAAGTGAACCCTCCGTTTCATCTTCTCAATTCCGTAAACAACACCCTCGCCACGAAAAGGCATTGAGTAGGACTTTCCTGGCAGAGGTTATATACGCGTGGCCTTGTGAGAGCATTTTGAAAGGAAAAGCAGACTCTCCCCACTCTCGGCCGTACCAGGGCATTTGGGAGCCCTTGTATAACAAATATAAATGCTAATAATTTTATTCCAAAATTAATATCATATACACCAGTTTGTGACCGTTATGTCCCGATAGGAATAATTAATTGTAACTTTTGGGATCCATTTATGGACCAATATTATCCGCATATTTTTATCGTATAACTGTTAAATAACTAAACTATACATATTCACGTCCCTCTTATTATGAGCCTTATTTTGACTTACGAACTATTATTATACGATTTACCATTCTTGAACTGGGCTCTGTGTATTAATCACTACCTCCCACATTCATAGCTACATTTGGCCAAATCTTGTACAAATGTTGTTTTCTATTTTTATGATACGATGTGGTCTTTCTGATTGGTATACAAACCCAGTATGCTTGAAATAAATGATTCATATTGCACAGGCTGAGATTGGTCTTCTGAACTTAACTGGCTGGGTTAGGTGGGAAGCAGGACCGATAAGTACTCTAGACTGCTCGTACAAGTTTTAGGCCTCATTGGTCCGATCGATAATTCACTGCTCTCTAATTGGCGGTATCGTTACGTTATACATTAACGGGGCACACAGGCCACAAGTTATAACAGTGACAGAAAATATTTTCGAATGATCCATATATTTTTTCAAAAAAATAAAAATTGTGAAGAGATATTTTCCACAATGTTTTGATTAATTAGTTTTCTACCACGAAGCAGATATAGAGTACAGTAGTCTTGACCAGTCGTTAATGTGTATATTCCTTACTAATTATCACATTACAGTTCATTCTTTGTTACTCTTCAATTTATCTCAGTATATTTTTTTCATATGTATATATACATTTATAGATTACCATTCCGTTTACTACTTCGAAAACATAACGTTGATTTAGTTCATACACCCATGATACTGGCTAATTCATTTATTCGATCAGAGAAAGCAAGAAATGTTGAGTTTACAACTTGTTCAAGTAATTTAATATTTATCCTACTTCATTTTTATTATCATCCTATTGGTTTCTATTGTCAATATATTGCATCATCTTGTTGTGCTAATGAGATATGGCAACTTGGACCGATGCATATATGTGCATGGTCCTACGTTGTAGCTGACTGACTGATTAATTCATCACCAAATATTATTTTCTGATTTATACCATAATCTTGTAGTCGCTGGCACTTTGTCGAGCACTCATAGCTCATTCTAGTTTTCGGACAGACCAAATTATTCGCTCGCTATGCTCATCACATTTTGACCTTGTCAATTGTTCGCTTACTAACCTTCACTGTTTTTTTATGTGAGCATGTGTGTGTACATATTTCTTATCTGACTTATATCTGTAATTTATTTTTGTTCGACTATAAACATCGATTAACACTTGATTAAATCGAGTTAGTTTACATGCCTTCTCCAACGCGCATCATTTCATTTCGCTTTCTTCCTTCGATCATTTGTCTTGATCAACGATTCCGTATTTGACATATTTAATTCCGTTATTTACTAACATAATATAAGTCGATGATTATATACAAGGACTAATGAAATATGTATTTCCATAATGACAATCAACATACAATCAAATTGGAATCAGGCAACGGACCACTAAAATCTTATTTATAATAAATGAATTAATAACTTCTAAAAATTTCAACAAATAGTCTCATAATAATTGAGCGTTGAACTAATGTAAAAGATTCAAGAAGAGAATTTTATTTGTAAAAAATTCAACCATTTAACTCTAAGTAAATTCATTATTTCTTTCAGTAATATGATCCAACCTTTTTCAAAGAAATATCAAACATTATATATTTAGAATTAATAACTTTTTCATTAATAAACAGTTCATTTACGGAATATTGTTTAAAAGTTAAATTCCTTTAAAAGTAACTATCTGTACAATTAGTGCATTTCACTAGAAAACTATTTTTATAGACTTAATCAGTTAACCAGTACTTTCAATTAACTCTAAATAAAACATTATTCTATCACCACCACCACCCCACCCAAAAAATCCTCAGTCTATATTATTGACTGTGATCACTAAGATATCATTTGATTAATTCATTGTTTAATATTAACCATCACATCATTCTTTATGTGAATCATCTAATGAAGACTTTCTCTATGAAAAGTACATATAAAGTAATCGTTAGTTTAATAAGTATCATTGAGTTATATCCCGAGTGAATCATATTTTATCTGATCCATATGTAAATAATCAGTTAACTAGTGGTTGTGTTTTACTTATATCAGATTTCACGATTAACTATATGAGAACGTTATCAATTCTATCATTTCGATCATTTCAGTAATTTTACAAATTATCATTATAACGTTAAATTACCAATTATGTATAATAAGATATTATCTAGTTTTTGTTCATCTTGTTAATATATTTGGTTAGATAAGCATTTATGTTTATTTTTCATAAAATATATTTAAGATTGATAACTTGTAAGGTAATTCATTTGTATTAGTTATTTGAATGTTTGCATTGATGTTAAGAACTGCAATTGATCAATTTGGTTTGTAAGATCAATGTTATATTTTCTAAGTCATTAAACAATAAATTCATTAACTTCGTCAGTATAATTTTGTTTGCAATGAACGGACCACTGAAATTTATACCTTCTCAAACCTTCAATTAGAGAACGTTAAAAGAGCCATTTATAACTAACTGATTGTTATTTTTAATCTATAAAATAAACATAAAAATAATTCATGCATGGAATAAGCATTCTTTGTTTATACTTTCTTTTTTGATTACTGAGAGATTTTTGTTTTCTAAGTTAGTCATTCTACAAAAACCAACATACTTGTTTACTCTGTGTTTATGAGTTAATAAGAGGTTATAGTGTTTACAGTTATGTATATCAACAATGAGAAATTACGAAACCGTACTAATACTTTCATACCCTTTGAACATGTTAGTAGTTATCTAAACTTAGTAGTTCAGTAAATAACACATTGTTTTTTAAAGTGAACGATAATTGGTTCAAGTCTCAGTGTGAATCTTACTACTAGAAAGTAGGTACATTCAATATCAGATAGAACGAAATACGAGTCATGATTGCACTCTTATTCGCATTCAAAATATACGTTTTGTATTGTTGTTGAGAATCTAATCAATTTAGATTGAATTTTTTCACTTTTTCGTCGCTACTTCTGTCTGATATTTGTCTACCGCTTATTTTCCTTAATCTCCTATCTGATGTAAATTCAACGTCATTGAAAATGTTGTTAATCGTATTGTAGGCACTTTCTAATTGATTTCTTTTCATGGTAATAAATATTTCAGTAGTATAACAGATCTAAAATTTCGATATGACGACTAATAAAACGACAGTCACTATATGGTCTTTATAGTGTCAATTAGACTATTATTGGGATTTCTTTTCCTTCTGTACAACACCATTCACATTGAATCATGCTTTTGCAGTAAGAATCTACATACTCTTGTAAAGTTTAGTATTGGAAAAATTGTATGATTGCTCAGGAGAATAAATATATAATATCATCTTCCAGTCTATTTCATTCATTTAGAACGAGTACTTACTTATTTAAACATAAACGTTAATACAAAGGGACATTAAAAGATATATGCGCCATACAAAGTAATTGTCATTCAGTTCGTTCGTGAGCTGGGATACTCGCCGGGTGCACAAACTGAAACAGGTGGTTTTGTTAAGGGTCACTCCATAGACCTTTGACCCAGAGGTCTAATCCACAAGGCAGTGGAATAGCGTTAGGAGATACGGTCCTATGGTAGCCGATTACCAAGAATGAGTCCATATGCCTTTTGTTCCCTCAGGATCATAAAACCCATGTCCACCACTGGTTTGGAATCACATTGGATCCTTCGTATCCATCCGGTTTAAGCACTAAACGTTTGCTTTTCGTCCTCTCAATTTCGTAAACGACATCCCCGCCGCGAGAAGACAATAAGTTGAACGTCCCTGGTAGTGACTTTATACGCGTGAACATTTCGAGAGAGAGTTTATTTCAGTTCTATGCGTTTTTATTCTCATTATTCTTATATTGAACATTCTCTTCCGTTAAATAAGTTTAAAATCTTGTTACAAATTAACTGTCTAAGCTATTAATTACTGCTTTTCGTATTTTTTTTTCATTTCTAACAATTTACTCTCATGATATTGACCCTTTCGCTGTTTTTAAATAATTGAAGTTGAAAACGATTTCGTTTCACGGGTAACCTCTGAAATTCTTTATTTTGTTATTTTTCTTTTCTCGTTGTTGTGTCTATTTAAGATGACCGACCGTTGATTGTACAACTTGCGTCAAATGATCCATGTGAATTTGCTATAGCCACGGAAATGCTTGCACCATATTGTGATGGAATTGATTTAAATTGTGGTTGTCCTCAACCGTAAGTTAATTTCCACTTATTTCTACCCTCCCCCATATTTAAATGTACTACTTAGATTTGTTCATATTAAAACTATTTCCTCATAGTCGTATGCTATTGATCCAGGTCAAGTTAGACACAGGCTACCTAGTGAAGATGGCAAATCAGTTTATAAGGCAGTTAATATTCGTCAACTAAAGTAGTTGAGATATGTATTACATATGTCCAACCACCGGCTACATCGATATCTTATATGTAGGTAGCACAGTATTTGAATGCATTGACTACTTCACTTATCTTGGTATTCTCATCAGCCCTGATGGTTTGATGTTCGACGAAATCTCGGCACACATTCACAAGACTCTAATGGCTTTTGCCAACCTGCGTCACTTGTGGCATGGACGAGATATTCATCTTCCAGTCAAAAAGCGAGTTCACTGAGCAGCAATTCGCTCCGTTCTACTTTATGGATGTAAAACATGTGCATTAGAAATGGAGGATATTCGTAGATTGCCAATATTCGGTCATAGGTGTTTCCGAAGCATCGCTCATGTATTTTTGGACCAGTGAGTAACCAAAGCCTGGGTTAGGAATAGGGTACTAGGTGAGGATGGGAAATTGATTGGTGATGTAGTAAATCTTCATCATTTGAGGTGGCCGGGAAACGTATTACGTATGCCCAACCACCGCCTACCTCGACAGGTGATGTGTGGTGTGGAAGTAGACTGGAAGAAAGATAGGAACGCCAAACCGGAATATGCCATTAGTCCTTGAAATCATTGACAACTGAATTGAACCACAATAATAGGTATGGAATACCTGGTTGGGGTTCACGTAATCATCGTGACGAATTGTTATATCTAGAACTTAGATTTTTAATATACTGCGTACAACGTGAGAACTCAAACGCTAGAACCCTCAAAGTCGCAAATGGGAAAACAGAAGACAAGTGAGAGGAATGCTATTCCAAACAGTGTCAAATATAACACAAAACTCTCGAGTATTTATAATTTTGAGTAAAAACGAAGTCATCATTATAACTTATCCGTGGGCTGTACTCATAACTCTCCTCTTTAAAGTCTCTTGTTTAAGACTTTTTCCTCGGTTCCTCCTGAAACCTGGTTACCGAATTCCTCTCGCGGTCCACCACTCTTGAAGGTTGTGCCGCTTTGTCCTCTCGTCTTTTATATCTTCTATATTCGTTCCTCTTAGGTCTTTTTTGAGATGAATCCACGAGCATTTGAAACAGGAGTCGGCTTTGTGTTATTAATGTTCTGCCATCCCTTTGAATTTGATTTGTGTCTTATACACGTTCCAACATTTCTCGGGAATAAGTCCAGTACATTTCCAATCTGACGTTCTATAACACCTAGTTCCCACTTCCTATTACCTCGATACGACTTGACAAGTACCCTTTCACTCACCTGGAAGGTGCGATTGACCGCCCGATACCCGTTCGTAAGTTTATTTGTCTTGTTGGGCGGCAACATACTGTGAAACACTGTCCGAATTTTTCTTTCGAACACACACTCAGCTGGTAACTTTCCTTCTGGCACTGCTGGATCGGGGGTAAATCTGTCGGACATTAAGAATTTATCTATCATTTTTTCTGGAATAACCTCTGCTCTTCCTTTGACCAGAGCTCTTTTTATTGTATTCACAAATCTTTCTGCTTGGTCACTCGACTGAGGATGGTACGGAGGAGACTGTAGATGCGTTATACCACTATCGCTGCAAACCTTTTAAAAGCAGATGACATAAACTGAGTACCATTGTCAGTTACCACGATCTCTGGAACCCTGAAACAAGCAAACAATTCTGACAATTTTCTTATTGTACTCGCTGAAGTCGTATTCGACATGTCATATACTTCCGGCCATTTGGTGTAAACATCTACAACAAACAAGTAATTTCTACCTTGTATTAGACCGGAAAAAATCAGCATGCATTCTTTGCCAAGGTCCGTGGTCGTGGTTCAGCTTTAGTGGGATTTAAAGCAATTAGTCCCTTTTAGTGGGATTATTTGTGGCCTCCAAACAGTACCAACAACTGCGACACTTTTGTTCTATATCACGGTTCATTGACGGCCATTACTCATAGCTCCGAGTCAGTGATAACATCGTCGTTGTGTTTCGAGGTTAACAAATTTTCACTTATACTAGTTTTTGTGTTATTAATTTCGCATCGTGAGAACTGCAGTGGTTCCTCATTTTCGAGTATTAGTAATAGGTGAGTCTGATATAACAATGAGCGACGACCAGATATAACAAGTAGCGTACGATCGAGAAAACGTAACAACTGGTGACAGGGTTAACTTATCAAGATGTTATTTAGCTTTGCTGGAGCGTCAAGAAGAACGTTACGAATAGTTCCAGGTTCGTATTCTAGATGCTCTAACCCAGCAAATGCAGCTAAATCAAAAGGGGCTTACGGATGATCCGTTCAAATTCCATGTCGACCACATCATTAGTTCTATCCATGAATTTCATTTTGATGGTTTGGTTCGTGTTGCATTTGAAGTGTGGTTCAAGAAATACGAAGACATGTTCAGGGTCGACCTAGAAAATTTGATGATGCCGCAAAGGTCAGAGTACTGCTACGCAAACTTTGCACAGCTGAACATGAACGCTACACAAGCCTCATTCTCCCCAAGAATCCCAGAGACCTGTGGTGGTCGGTGTTCGATATATTCCTTAAACTCCGTATACAGTTCGTCTCGGTAACCGTCACTAAATAACGCTCCAACGGTATATTAATCAGAAGGCAAATACGAAGTGTTAATTACGTTTATTATGGGACCACACACAGATATCCAAAATTACAGATGCGTTAAGCAAGCATGAAATATTTGTGCCGAAAGGCAAACAGGCAAGCGAGCGGGCGAGAGAGAGCAATCGATCGAGCGAGCGAGTAATGAATATGAATAACATGGACATATATATACATAGTGAAATGAATGAATCATCGAACCAGTTAAGTGGTTAATAGTAAAGCTAGTAGCGTGAATAAATGCGTAGGCAGTAAGGCTCACCGAGCATACATGTTCATACATTCGCAACAGTAATAAGGATACAATGATATAGATAAATTGTTGTAAGGATGACTCAGTTCGTTAGTAGATTAATAAAATAACTTAACCGAATTAAATGTGAACAAGCACAATAGCACGTGAGTTGTTATAGACCTTTTATTTGACGCAACGGTTGTAATTTTGTCACAAATCTTTAGTGAACAGTCGCCTTTGTTCAATATTCGTTACCAATGTTTTAAGTTAGCAAAAGCTGGAGACGATGACTGGGTGCAACATGCTAACCTGGTAAATCGCAAATGTGAGCGTTTTAAATTATCGGCAATGACAGAAGACCAGTTCAAGTGTCTTGTTTTTGTATTCAGCTTGCGGTCGTCTGAAGATGCCGACATCTGAACCAGGATTCTGAGTAAAATTGAAGCGTCCAAATATAACGCTACAAGAAGTGACTATTGAATGTCAGAGGTTGGTGAACTTAAAGCATGACACTTCTGTGGTTGAAAACAGTGGCCGGCTACCATACGTACAGGTGATATATAGCCAAGAAGATTCTTTTGTACGTAAGCAGAACAGCTCAAACAGCTTCCATCCTCGTGCTGGTCATGCGGTCAGTGGCACTACAAAACGTTTTGCCCATATAAGAGCTATGGTAACACTAAATGTCGACATTAAGGACATAAAGAATCTTGCTGTAAACAGTAGATGTATCGTCGCCCATTGCAATTTCATTCCAGGAGACATAAACCTTATTCAGCAACCGGAAAAATAATGGTAACACATACCACGAAAATATGCCGCCATCGAGGTTGATGGTCACAGTACCCGCCTGCGGCTCGATACTGCTTCCGACATCACACTAACCGGAGAACCTGGAAGCATATTGGAAAACCTCAGGTGCCCCCAACAACCCAGTTAGCCCATAGTGCATCCGGAGGGAAATTCAATATTGTTGAAGAAAACCTGGTCCAGCAAACGTCAAGACTATCAAAACCATGTCTCCACCGACAGATGTATCTACTTTACGTTCCTTCTTGGGAATGGTTAGTTATTATGGTGTTTTTCTTCCAGATTTGCATCGTCTCCGTGCCCCTCTGAATTGGTTCTGAAGTAGGATACCGAAATGGGTCCGGTCAACAGAATACCAAGAGGCATTCCTAATGTTTCTACTAATATCGATTATAATCAACATAAAGCCTGTCACAATTGTGTGATAGCCCTAATTCCTATACCATATCAGCATAATAAAATGAGATTAACACAATGAATAGCAAGCTAGTTGAAGTAATCATAGTATTAATTATATTGAAAAAGACTAAGTATTTAGAATATGATTTGGGAAAACGCGATAAAGTTATGTATGAAGGAATACTGAAACTAAAGAAATAACGGTGGACAAAGAATAGAAGTTAGTAAAATTTTTTTGAATGAACACAGATTCAATCAGTTTATTAAGGTCGACTATCTTACAGAGCATATAATCCACTATTTGTTTAATTCATTCAGCTCTCTTAGTATTGACAAATATTTTATTCAATCGTGTCAGAAGTTAATTACATATAATTGGCTTACAGAATAAAAATATGAATCAATTGAATATGAAATGTTGACTTTTGAACCAGATTCAACTAGGTAATCCATTAAAATCCGTCGGAATCTTTGCCCGTGAAAATATGTTCTTGTGACTACTAAGTGATTGATTAATAATAATCCGTTTTATGTAGCTTAATCCTTTGAACCAAGTTATTGCCGCGATCCGTTTTATTTGATATTAAATGGCTATATACGGGCAATAAAATTTCATGGACATAGACTCTGTGTCAATCGGTATGCCACCAGCTCCGGTTTCTTAATCCAGATGGCTACTGCTTCCGTCGTTTGAAGGACATAGAATCTAACAAACTTCGACAAAAAATTACTGACTCGTTAAGTAATTGAGAAAGACTGGCTTATACTAGCACTATGATCAGTTTGCACTAAATGGACTAATATCGAGTTGTTCAGTTTCTTCACTAGACTTTGATGATCCTGGGTCCATGATACTTGCAACCTATACACGCTTTTTTGGACAGAATCAGAGAAACTCCCTGAGTGTCCGAAGCATTTTCTTCGTGACCAGAGTACAGCAGTACCTCCCCCGAAGCTAATCTTTTCTGTTCAGTCTGCATCCATTGGGCTTCACTTATTCCGAGAACCGCTAACTTTTATCTCCTCATTTACACATCTATTTGATTAGACCTCCCGATCTCTCACATTGTCCGTTCATTCCATGTACTTATATTGATTGTTGCTCTAGTTGCAAGAAGGGACATCGAACTGGTGACTTCTACAGATTCTCGGCTTTCACCATGAGGCGTCATAATTATTCTGAATGAAGATCCTTCAACCCGGAGAGCAAAGTTCAAATAGTTTACATTGTTTATTCTGGTTAGCGTTTTTTTAGCAAGGTTGTTTTTTACGAAATATGGTTGGTGACCCTATACCTAACGCTCCTCCTTTATTCGCGTTCGTGACCGGCAGCAACCCTAGAAGAGCTGAATGCGGATACTTTGAACGATGTACTTGCCTTAAATCTGATCACTTTTTGTGTTATTAATTTGGATATATAATTGTAGAACCTGAACAGAATTTATTGTAAAGAATATTCTCTCTTCATGTATTAGTGTTTGAATACAAGATTAGTTAAGTATCTTGAACTAAATTTTTCATGCTATCATTATCATTTCCTATTCTAGCTGGGCGATAGGTAGTGAATTAGGATCAGCCCTATTAAAAAAGCCTGAAAAAATTGCCAATATTGTACATGCCGCTCGAAATACAATTCCCCGATGGCGTAATTCTCACATGGAAAGTTGTAAAATGTTAGACGATATAGAGGATTCAAATAAAAATAACAAAGCAGAAAAGAAATTTAGGTCTATAACACGATCTCATGGTCCATTCTCAATTTCTGCTAAAATTCGTATACCAACTACAAGTGATAGATCTGTTGGAGAAGGAAGTTCATGCGATCCAGTTAGTGATAAAACATTTTCATGCGTTTTTTTTAACATTTATTTGTGCTCTAGATATGACTCAATTATTGAACTGTCTTTTTTTCAGGTAGTCTATTCCATTCATCCGGTAGTAATATAGTTATATGTACTTTGATGAAAGAATACTAATAGCGTAATCAAGGCTATTCATTTAAGAAAAGAAAATCTTAATCAGTACCATTCTAATGTTCTTTGAGAAAATTTCACTAGTTTTTTATAAAACTACTAAGACAGAATATCTAATCTGAGAAAGTTACGGTCATAACACAGTGATGGATACATGAACTATTAACTTATTACCTAACAGGAAACAGAACCACTCACCAATACCATAATCATGTATTAAAACTATTGAAGTGAACGAAGACTTAGTGGGGGAAACCTTCACTTTCACCTTTCAAATTGAACCGTTCAATATAAGTTCATCGAATATAGACCTAATAACTTAATAACAATATATACCTGGAAATTTTACTAGTTTACTCAAGAATCCTTATATCATACTAAAAACATCAGAAAACAACTTGCTTAGATCGATGAGGAAATCACTGTCGCCATATCTAATGAAGTTATTCTGAAATAACTGATATTTTATTTAGAAATCCGGATTGCAGTAGTTTCAAGTCGAAAAATACTTATCTTTATCAATATACATTTCTTAAACCTCTATAGTACTTAGAATCTTATTTTATATCGTTATTAATAACATTCCTATTGTACGTATCCTTTTTTCGATAAGCGAATAACTAGAAATGCTAAATAGGAGTTAATAAAGCTCATTTTTGTCAAACGAGTTTATGCGCTGGTTTTTTATGGTTATCGGATTGAAAGACTGTGTCAAGTGTAAATTAATTATAGATATTATTCCTAATGACATTTTGTATCCAAATATGAATAAATGTTTCTCATACATTCTAGTAATATGTACTACCTCTTTTTTAATAGAAAAGAACGCCCTTGATGTGTTTAGTATCATGTGTTAAATAATCTATATAACTCTAAAATATACATTTATTCTAGATCAAACTTACCGTTGAACTTGTCCGACGTTTAGCTGTAATGGGTGTTGACTGGGTTACACTACATGCAAGAACACCTCAACAACGTAGCAGGGACTGTGCTTCATGGAATGTGGTTCAAGAATTGGTCAACTGTAAAATTAAACATTCTTACCTGGGTACTGATATCCCAATAATCCTGAATGGTGATGTCCGTGAACTAAACGATGCATATTGTGCTCAGGAAATGACGGGTTGTCATGGTGAGTCCTTAACTGGAATCGTGATATGTAAGAAAATGTTACTATACTAGTCTTCCTTATAACAAGGGGATAAAAACTGATCCCCTAAAATTCTTTACACATACTTTATGAACCAATTTTCAGATAGCTTTGCCGACATAAGTAATTTTTACTACCGGAATTTTTAAATTTATCCCAGCCAAGTCGAAGCACCACTGGTAGATCATTTCGGAATTAGTCTTTGGAACTTTTCTCATACATTATGAAGCTCCTCGACTTAATCACCTACACAGATATTCAAAATCCACACCCAAATAGATTTTAAGGCAATGCGCCATTAGTGGTGTACATGTTACGGATAAGCATCAATTATAGTTATTGAAAACCCAGAAGGTATCGATCAGCTGCTCCACCATAGCTTGAGACTCTTCAGCAATGTCTGTCAAACTCTATTCATCTGTAAACTGATAACCAGCCCAGAGATTAGTTTCCAAATTTTGACCGATGGAGTTTAACCCCATAAAGAATGAGATAATCGTCACTGATGGTTCACATCCTCCTGGACGGAATAGAAGAAGCATTCACTTAACTAGTTTCTTTACCTGGTGGCAGTGGATCACCGATCCTCCAAGTAAGTACCTAGGTATATTAACAACAAACGAGGGAAATGAAAAAAATTAGCAAATCATGGTGAGATACTGTTTCAGTCCTTAAGAATATATCAATTTTCCTCTTAAAGGACTCCTGTGATATCGCTTAGACTAGCTCAGACGGAAGCGAATTTCAACATTTGACTGCTGTTTTGTTTCTCTAGTTTCTGGGTGTTACCCCTAAGCTTTGTGTTGGGACTAGGCTTAGATTGGTGTTTAAGGAGATGCCTAGAACTATCAAGGATGCTGTAAGTCGTTAGAAGGTCACCTCTAAGACTCTTGTACTCTGATGGGCAAGGGTTCGGTGACTGAAGGCGCTCTTCATACGATTTGAATTAGAGTCCCCAAACCAATTTCGTGGCTCGCCGCTAGGTACGTTCCAGGAAATACTGTTTCCATACTCTAAACGGGGTCGTATAGAACTGTCGAAGATTATATGGAAAGATCTTTCGTCGGATTGGCTGAAAATGCGCTTCTACGTTACCCGTGCAAGGTTTGCTCGAAAGGCATTTTTGTCGTAGCGTATAATTTCAGATCGTAGGGTAACAACACTTTCAGATGTTTCTGAACTTAAAATAACTCTAGAGGATAGTTACCTAAGTTGTATTTGTAGTCCGAAACTTGTCTCAGATAAACTACTTTACACTGAAGTGTTAAAGGTAAGTTGTCATCTGCCAAACTATGAATTCGAGTCAGAACCTCCTGAAGTGCCAGATTATCCTCTTGGTCGCATACTTCCCATCAGAGTCCCACACCATCAGCGAAAAGTAGTGAGTCAGGTGACACATGCTGTGAAAGACCATTTGTATAAGTCAAGAAAAGAATAAGTCCTAATGTAGTGAACTAGAACACCAGTGGGAACAATCGGACATGTTTGGACTCGACATTATAGAGCATCTCAATAAAATCTGAGAACCAAATAATAAATGCTTAATTTGCAAAATGTTCATTAATTGTATTAAAATGAACCAGACTTCAATGTTCTTGCATTTTCATACAAATTGCATTCTGTTTCCATTCTTTACTGTTCGATCCCCTTGTCTCTCTGCTGCCAGACATTCTGTTTCTGACTAACATTATATACTACTTATGTCGATATAAGTAGCACACCACACTAGTACTGAACCCTGGGAAATTCCATAGCCTGAGAGAAAGTGAAGTTAAGACTGACCTGATTTTTAGATATAAGTAAGCTTATTTATAAGACATATATGGTTGACCCTATCAAAAGTGTTTGAGAAATCAAGGTATATGACATCAACCTTCGCTTTGCAATTATGGATGGTTGTCCATCTGTCCACCGCGGTCCGCAGGTTGGTTATACAAGAGTGACCTTTTCTAAAACCGTGTTGTTGGGGTGGAAATAAGTTTATGGATAGTAAGTACTCATGCAAATCGTCACATATCAGAGACTGTATTTTTCGAGGATATAGAGAGAAGTGCTACCGGCCGGTAGCTCGAAGATTCGCTGCATCAACTTCCTTTGAAAATTGGTGTTATGTGAGCCAGCTTCCAATTTTCTGGTAATGTGCCCCAGCTTGGAGAATGTGAGAACATCACACCAGGCAGTGTTGTCAAGATTGAAGCTGCTCCCTTCAACATAATGGACCATATGCGGGCCAGAAGAAGTGTCTTTGTAGATGCTGCAGTTTTCGGTGCATCAAGTCAGCGTTCAGGTTCACTTCTGAAAGTCTCGTTGAGTCGCATGTGAAGCTCTCATCAATGTAGTTAGTATGGTTTGGTTGAAATGTCCGAAAGTATCGTTCTACCAGAAGGTCGGCAGCGTCACTGTCGTTGGGGGTTGGGTCATCATGACCTAGCAGTTGGGAAACTCCGATTTTGGCTTGTCGAAGAAAGGTTGCATGATGGAATAAGCTTTTCAGATTGGAGACAGATTTATCGATAAGCTTTATCTGATACTAAAGCCTGTCTTCTCTTATTGTTTTTGTGCATATGTTCCTTACTTGTTTGAATTGCGTGTATGCACAGTTGTTACCAGTTCGTTTGTATTGTGATGTGGGTTACTTATATCCACATAAGTAGTATATAACGGTGGTCAGGCATAGAATGTATTTCAGTGGAATATCGTGAGGGAAAGAACGGGAGCCGAATGAAACTGGTATGGAAATGCATGAACAATGAAATCTCAGACAATGGACTGATATTATGCAAATTAACGATTTACTATATGGTTCTCAGATTTTAATGAGATACTCTGTAATTTCGTGTCAAATACATTCGATTGTCCCCACTTGTGTTTCTGTTCACTACAGTATTCCACCCAGTAGGGCCTTTTACGACTTAGCAATCGAAGAGTGTGGTTCTTGATTACTGTAGGTTGCTTGTAGATTTCGAGGACCAACTAGACACCTCAAGGTGTCAGACAGTTTTACTGAACATCATACAGATTCATCAAGATTGATAAACCCTTAATTGTGCGCTTGATCTACTTTCATGCAAGATCGCAGGTGAAAGGCTACTCTACCCCCAATTCTGTTTTTCTGTCGTTGCGTAACAAAGAAATCCAGAGTATTGCTAGCTCATGGTTTGCAATTCGAGAAGATATCCATGTTTCAGATATTGCTACCAGTTGAGCATTGTTAGTATTACTGAGTTCACACATTTCGTCCATTTTATTCGGTAAACTCGTGGCGTTCATATATAAGCACTTTGTACTTTCAATTGAAAACGCGTGAGCTTCCCCGTCATTTATATGTATGAACCTTATGTGAATAAACAGGTGACCTATCTACACACGGTTTTCCGAGTTGGTGGCCACTGTCCTTTCTATGTTCTTTTTCATGATCTTGATAACCCACAAGTAGAATAGTCAGCTTAAATTGACCTTTGTACTTGATCCTAACATCATTTGGTCTATCAGGATGTATATGGATTCCAGTTGGCAACCGGCGTCCACCGGCAAATAATGCTTCGAATGTTTCAGCTGCCATATGGGGGGATGGAAAGGTTATTTTGATCAGCCGAAGTCTAAAATCCCCGTCCTTCTTGGCTAGTCTCACCAATTGTCGGGTAAATATGTTTTTGAGCTTCAAGGATGAATTTGAAATCCCGGATATTAGAGTCTGAGAAGGCAGGGTCCGTGTTTTCTGGCACACTTTGCACAATGTTATTTCTTCTGCGGAAAAACATCGCACAAGACTCCTTAGGAATGTTCCTTATGATATTGCGCTCAGAATACAGTATATCAGGCAGCATTCTTACATTCCCATCTGAGTTCAGTAAGTGACTAGCTAACAGAACATCCTCTGCGTCGGCAGTGTTAGTGAGCGTTACACGAAGGAGTCCTTCCGTGTAACCATCAAAGGAATCTTGAGCTTCCTTTTTAACTCTTCCCAAAGCATTCTGTCCTACTTTTCCTGAAGACTAAAAGGAAGGTCAGAGCTGTCTTTTAGGTTTATGATTATGAGAGAATCATCGCGAACCGTGATCATTTTGACAGGTTTTCGGGTATATTCAGGTTGGGGACCTTTCTATTTGGTAGTTGAAATGCGTTTCGGATTCCCGTGCTCCTTGATGACTGGTTGGACAATCTTAGGGGGAGATTGTAAGGCCAAATCACCAGTTGGTTTCACTACAAAACCTAGAATGCTCTACTTTCTAGATGGTGACACTCGGTCATTTTTAAATTTGTTGACGGGGTTCCAATCGCCTATAGAGTTTTTGGGGACCACTGTTGCATTTAGTGATCCTGTGCTAAGAGACACGAATTTGATGAGAGTCAAGTACTGTCAATGTTATGATGTTGCTGAGCTTCAGCATATCCTCACCAGTGTCGATGCATGTCCCGTCGATACTTATGTTGTCGACGTCCCTCTTCCTTTCCTCACTACGCATCTTTGTTTACCCGTTTTATGACTACGTTTTTTTCAGGTTTGCTGACAACGTTTTCGGTAGACCTATTAAGAGAATGATGATGTTGCTTAGCAAATCCTCAGCATTCATGTTGCACGTACCACATGCCCAACTGCGACTCGACTTACTAAATCTGTTGTAAGCAATCACTGTGAGATCTGTTCATGTTTCGTGGAACCAACCTTTGCATTTGTCACGCCCCCAAATGCCCTGGTATGGCCGAGAGCGGGGAGGGTTCGCCCTCCCTCTCGAAATACTCTCACACGGCCACGCGTATACAGCCTCTGCCAGGGAAGTCCTACTCACTGCCTTCTCGTGGCGGGGGTGTTGTTTACGAAAATGAGAGGACGAAAAGCGAATTTCCTGCCCTCCATGGCCGGTGACGACTGATCCACCAAATGAGGCGGAAGTCCGCAAGGAACTCCAACTCTTGAAACGTTACAAATCACCGGGCCCAGACGACTTACCTCCGGCTCTTTTTAAAGATGGTGGTGACTT